TGTAACTGACAGCAATACGACAACATGAAGAGCGGAGATTGTTACAAAACACATACAGAACGATTCAAGAGCAAGTACAACTATCCACCCCTCAACTACGCCTTCCCGAACTTTTGCAGGTACTCCGGGGTGAGCCCGCAGCGGGTACTGAGCACGCGAACGATGCTAAAGTGGAGGTAAGTCCCAACATGCAGAGCATGAAGGAAAAACTGACTGGGGTTGCGCGTGGGGGGTGATTATCCCGTCTTCAGGCTGCCAATCCATGTGGACACGATGTGGAGAGGCTGGGACACAGAGACGCACCTGATAGAGGGTAGCGCGACCGCTACCCATTGTCGCCGGCGCGACCACACGTCTCTCCCTCCCTTCCCCCTTCCTCACGTCGAACTCGAGAGCACGCAGACCCTGAAACGCGATCAGCTTTCGAAGTCGGGAAGTGAGCGTCGTACGCACCTTTTCGAAAGCACGCCAGGGCACCGCGACACGGGCCCGTCCACCGATACGGTAAACGTTGAAGAGTGGCTACGGTAACACAGGTAAGAGGCTGCTAACGGTTGGAAATACGTGGATGTGACTCACCAGCAACTTCTTGGGGATAGACATGGTTGTGTGCGACGTTGAGTAGAGTGCGGGGTACGGTAAGGAACGAGAGCACTATTCCGATGGGAACGGGAGGCACTACAGCTGCGGTGGGAAGATCACCTCACGTGGATGGGCGGGTGTTGCCGTTAAGCGCTCGTGTGTGAAGATCCATCTCCACATTCCCTACAGGGAGAACAAGCGTGGGAAACGGGCGCCCGTACCACGGTCACGTGGATTCCGCGTGATGGCCTCTTGCACCGCAAAGCGAAGCACGAGCGGTGGAAGGGGCGTCGAGCATGCGGAGAACAGTGCGCAGGCGCAATGAACCCAAGTCGGTCCAAAGACACTGAATAACAGGATGTGGGTCACGTGCGGAATGGGAGACGAACCACCGGTTCGCAGGGTGGTAGACATAACACACGGAAGGGGACAAGGGCCACAGGGACTCGCGCCACACAAGTATAAGGCTCTCATCGTTGCCATGAACTCCGCACAGCAGTACTAACGCTCTCCCGATGTTGAAGGGCAACTTGAACTGGATAAAGGAGGGGAGAGTTTCATTACACATCTACGAATCGACGAACGGTAGCGGCCTCGTCTACGTATGTAGGTCTACGACGACCCCTTGGCCAGGTTCTCCAGGTACTCCGCAGTTAGGCCACATCGCTGGCTGAGCTGGGAGACCACACTGCTGGATCGCTCAGTTCCGAAGGTTGGGAAGGTGATACCACACTTACTACGCCTGGCTGGGAGGTGCAATAATCCCGTTTTTGGGCTGACTCCATGATCAGTAGATGTGGAGCGTGTTTGCAATGAAAGGACGCACCTGCATCAAAGTCGTACAAGCCCCGCCAAGGTGGGAGGGAGTGACCACCCGACGCTTCAACCCCTTGCAGTTTTCGACTTCGAAATCCAGAGCCTGCAACGCCTACCAAGCAATGAAAACCCCAGAACATGCTACGTTGTGCATACGTACCTGCTGCAGGTTGGACCAGCGTACGGGGATGCGCACACGATTGCCTATCTTGTACAAGGTAAGGAGGGTCTGTGGGTGCCAATCAACCAGACGCAGATCGCTAAAGAGGAGTAATTCACAGGCTTACCGATAGATGACGAGGGGCAATGAGAGGCGAAATGGTGAACATGGAGTAGATCTGAAGGTGAGTGGTCAGCCACGCATCAGATGGAGCTGTAGAGGGTGGGGCAATGCGTGGGGGGGAGGGAGATATATCCCACAGCGGGGAGCGGACGGGACGACGTGTGCCTGCATGTGCACGACGACCGCGATGATAGCACACGTACTTGGGATGTAAGTACGTGTGCCTTCATCATGGTCGTCGCTTTGCTCCTTCAGTGAGCAGGGTGACATGCGGGGGCAAGCAGGCGACGTGGAGAGCCAGTGGGATGGGACTGCCACACCAACGGGCGAGCAGGCGGCGGGGAGAAGAAGCGGGAGAGAGGGGCAACATCCTGGGGCGAGGGGGTGGCGAGCACAGGGCGAGCGAGGGGCCGGCGACCTGCGTAGCCTGCGCGCGACATCAAGATACCTAAGGAAGGGAGGGGCGACAAATGCAGGTAAGCGGGCGAGGGCGAGAGGTAGGGGGAGGCGGGGACGACGTACAGAAGGCGGTGGGGGACGGGGAGAGGCCCTTGCAGCACTTGCACCGGTGAGCGGGCAAGGGGCCGAGGCCGCGTGAGGGGGAGGTGACGGGCACGGGCGAGCAGGTGACGGAGAGACGTGGGGAGGGTGGGCGACGTGCATGGGCGAGAGAGGGGTACAGGCGACGACGTGCGCGGGCGACGGGTGACGAAGGACACGGGCGATGGACAACGACGGACGCGGGCAACGGACGCGGGCAATGGGCGATGACGGACGTGGGCAACGGGCGACGACGGACAACGATGGACGCGGGCAACGGGTGACGATGGGCGCGGGTACCGAGAGCTGTGGAGAGTGAGGGAGGATGTCCACCTGTGAGCGGGAGAGGTGGAGAGGTGGAGAGGTGGAGAGGTGGGGAGGGGGGTGCGATGTTCACGGGCGAGCGGGCAATGTGCTCTCCGTACCTCTCTCTCGCCCGTGCACGTCGTCGCCCACCCTCTCCACATCTCCCGCTCACGCGTGGACGTCCTCCCTCCCTCTCCACGGCTCTCCTCACCTCTCCACGTCACGTGGACATCCTCCCACCCTCTCCCCACATCTGTGCCCCGACGACGTGCGTGGGCGAGAGAGGGGTACCGAGAGCTGTGGAGACTGAGGGAGGACGTCCACGCATGAGCGGGAGACGTGGAGAGGGTGGGCGACGACGTGCACGGGCGAGATGGAGGTAGGGAGAGACCTGAGGATGGGGGCACGATGTTCACGGGCGAGCAGGCGATGCGCAGAGGCTGGCGGGGGACGTGCAGAGGCCGGAGAGGGAGGGGTGACGTGCGCGAGCCAGTGGTGGGGGTGCAGAGGCGGGGAGAGGGTGGGGCGACGACCCATGGCAAGAGGGGGATGTGGAGAAGCCGAGAGGGCAGGGGGATGCGTGCAGGGAGGAGACAAGGGGTAAGTACTTACTGATGGGCTTCCCAGCACGACTCTCCTGACGATACTTGCTTTGATTTCCTAGGTGACACAGGGTGGAGGGAGGGAGAGAGAGGGACTGGCAAGAGGTGGTGCGGCGGGAGGCGGCGTCCCACGCGTGTCGTCCCACGCACATAATGGTGCGTGTCGTAATGAAGGAAGAAGTGTGGACAAACAGGACCTTGTTTCTACCACAGTTGTGACGATATGATGTATACTATGTACGGGCGTATAATCGAGACGTTTACATTAGCAGAGGGACACGGACGGGACTCACATTGCCTGTGAGCCTAGCACGTCGCCCCGTGTCGGCTCTGTTCGATGTCTCTTGATATCTCAGCTGGCCAAGCTGTCTCAGGATCTAAGTCATTGTAATTACTGGCTAGCGGCGACGACATTTGTCAGCGGCTGTGCAGGACATCGCTGTGGTCTAGGTGCTCTACTGTGAATCCACGACTCATAAGCGCCCAGGGGGGGCGACCGCCATACCTGACAACATGGCGCCCGCCAGCATTTCTCCCTCTCTTCTCGTCTATCTGTGGCTTCTCTCTACGGGGCTTCCTCCTACTTTTCCATCGCCCTTCTTACCTCCGTCGGACTCCAGAACAGAGCGCAGCTCGCTCTCTACCACTACCTCCACACAACATCCCCGACAAGTCGATGCACCACCATCCCTACCCCATCGCCCCACCCTGGGAACGCCATCTCGCCCGCGACCCCCCTCAGAACGGTACCTGCGTCCCAGCACAGATCCCTCAGGGCATGGACCCATCCTAGGTCGTCCCAACCCCTCCGCTGATCAACAACTTGACGCGTCGCACCCCTATTCCCCTCAACAGGACCGCGTTCCCCCCCAAACGACTTCTCATCTGTCTCGGTCTCTCG